TTATTTCTATGGCTAATGACATTATATTAGTTTTATTATTATTAAAAATGTATAAAAGTCAAATTTATTTAATTTAATATGGATAATCTTATTAATTTTAAGTACCTTAGTTATTCATATATTGATGAAATTATTTTTATACATTTAAATTTACTTATTGATAAATATTTATCTATAATTTTATTATTTTTTATACATTTAGGTATTTTATTTATGAGTTATCGTTATCTATATGTGTTTTATAGTCATAATATATTTTAAATCTTTACACGCATAATGATTTTATTCCACTAAAACTATCAAATAAGCAAAGAGATATGTGTACTACATATTTGAATGTGAATCCAAATTTAAGATATCCGTTTTGTATTTGTATATAGTATATTTATATTTAAAATTTAAACTAAAATATAGTAAATAATTCTATACGAATCCGATTCCTACCCGTCGTGGTCGTCTAGCAGGCAAACAGCCCGTTGTTGGCCTTTGCCCTTTGGAGACCGCAGGCAGAGCCGCAGAGTCGGGCGCTGCTCCGAGCTCCGTGACCGTGACCGTGACCGCGGGATCAACGAACCAGCCGAGCGCGCCCGGCGCGAATATCGTGCGGCCTCGGATCGTGCTCAACGTTGCACTGGCCACTGTTTGGACCTGCGCATGCAGGGAAACATTGATGAGGGTACAATCTTAGAAGAGAAGGGAACAAGCAACTAAAGAAGAAGAGAGGAAGGCACTAAGATAATTAAGAGCCTGTTCGGCAGGACTGAAAAATAAATCAAAATACCGTTCTAACTGATTGTTGTAAGAGGAAAATACTGTTCTGACTGAAATCACTGTTCACGTGAACAGTGATTCGTGAGGGGGCTGCCCAGCCAGCCAGCCGAACAGCCCCTAAGCTGCAGCACTAAAGAACGGCACATCCTTCAAACTTGCAACCATAGAACAAGAAAGTCAAATGTAACTTTTCTGAAGTGGGATTCTCAACCTTAAGTACTTTTCTGACACCAGCGAGAAATTTGAGGGGTTGACAAGATGTGCAATTGCAAAACGAGGACAAAAGGCCTTTGAGGAGTACAGTCTCCAATCTCCATTGCAAACATGTTCCCACATGCATTACAGCATTAGTTCCTTTTCAAATCATGCGGCCACAGGCATGGAGAATGTTCAGGTATTTTGCTCAGACGTATTTTTGTTATAACTCACACGCTTGGTGACTCCAAGGCTCCAAGCATAGGTCCAGGCTTGGCGGGGGTGTTTGTTTGCCTCGTAAATTTTAATCCCTATCACATCGGATGTTTGACACTCATTTGTAATATTAAACATAGATTAATTATAAAACTAATTGCACAGATGGAGACTAATTCACGAGACGAATCTATTAAGCCTAATTAGTCCCTAATTTGACAATGTAGTGCTACAGTAAACATTTGCTAATCATGGATTAATTATGCTTAATAGATTTGTTTCGCTAATTAGTTTACTCATGTGCAATTAGTTTTATAATTAGCTCATGTGTAGTCCTCCTAGTTATTAGCTTCCAAACATCCAACGTGACACGGATTAAACTTTAACTCCCTAAATCCAAACATTCTGACAGCACTGGCAATGCAATCCAAGCAACATTCTGTACTTGCTATACGAAGTGTCAGTGACAGTTTTCAGGCGAGCAGAGGAGCTCACGCATTTCCTCCCGGAATGTTAGTGGTGTACCACGAGCTACTCCATTAGACAGTCGCTAGCTAGTCCAATACTCCAATGTTCAACTTCCCTTCCCTTCCCTTCCCTTCAAAGTGGTCGAAAACAACATACCCATTGGTATTGGGAAGTAGCAGTCCACTTGTATTCGTTGCAATTTGGTCCGCGTTGCACGGTTGGAGTTGGGTGAGCAGAATATGCGACGCGGCCGGACGATGAGCTCGGTCGAGGGCTCACCGCTCACACGGTTGGAGTTGGCTCGTAACTCGTAAGCCGAAGTGCGCGAGTACCGCGCGGCCTAGGATCGAATCGGCCGCGCAGCGGCGGCTTTCTGCCGTTGTGGCTCTTCCGCTTCGGTCGGTCAGCGCCGCGTTCGATTCTACTACGCTTGAAAGCCACGAGGGATTACTCCCTCCATGTTCTCGGAGAAAAACGTTTTAAGACGGTCTTAAGTCAAATATTTTAAATTTTAACTATAAATAAATTTTTTTAGGTTGAGTTTGAAAATATCTTAAAAAGTAGTTTTTATAAAAGTATATATTGACTATATTCTATAAATATTTTATAGCAAAAATCAAAGTTGTTTTTTAAACACCGTGTCGATGTCCAAAACAACTTTCTTTAAAGCGAGACTAATAATACAGTCGACAGACTGGCTGTAAGGATCTTTACGGCCTTCTCTCGACCCATCCAAATAGTAGTGAGCTTTTCACTATTAATACATAGCTCACTTGTCTCTATCATAAAGTTTCTCGGTTTTTGTGTTTAAACCGGCTGTAAGGTCACATCCCGCTTCTCTTATCTCTCATCTTCTTTCTTCTCCACATTCAGTCGGCTTACAACTTTCTATTATACTTGCTCTTAAGAACATAGAGGGAGTACAGGGATGCAGGACAATCATTCAATCGTGTCGAGCCACAAGGAGGAAACACGTTGCTTGCAAAAAGAAGAAATCTACGAGCATGAGACATTGACATCATCTGCGAGCGAGCAGTGTCGGATACCTATACCCGGGTATCCGAACCAAAGGATTATGGAACGTCACGTCGCCTCATCCGATGGTTAAAGATGCAACTGCGATCAAGGGCCGGGCCACGCCTCGTCCAACTCCAGGGACGAGGTCTCCGCCTCGTCTGACCCCAAGGCGTGGGCTCCAACTCTAGGGACAAGGTTTCCGCCTCGTCCAACCCCAAGGCGTGGGCTCCGACTCGTCCGGTCCCACGGGAAGGGCTCCGCCTTGTCTGACCCTCGTGGGTCGATTTCCGCCTCACCCGTTCCCTGGGGGTCGGATTTGGTACCGGACTAAAGCAGTGGCCCCACGGTAGGACCCGAACCGCTTCAACCACTATAGCGTGGAGGCGCACGTCCGGGAGCACGTCTCGGGCGTGTCCTGATGCGACTGGCGGTCGCATCAGACCATGCTAGGAGACTCACATCGCCCATCGCGTCAACAGGCCGGCACTGTGCTATCAACTCCCTGCCTGACCACCATCCAACGTCAGTCGACCGGCGTCAGATAACTGGCACTGTACCGCCAGCCCCCCGTATGACCTTTGTCAGAGACCCTTTGACCATTCCGTCCGCTCGGATGGGATGGAAGACAAGAACGACGCACGACGTCCGTACGTATGCTGCAGCGGCCAATAGGACCCCGATGCGACGCCGCTGCCACCACGATCTACAGGGTCAGCGGGACCCACACGAAGAGGAGGACGGCACACCTGTGGGAGCCTTATTTCTCTTTCTTTTTTCCTCTTTCCTTCGGCTGTAACATCTGCTTTCTCTTAGGCTATAAAAGGAAAAGCAGGTCGTCCCACTAAAGGACATTGAACAAGTGCATCACACGGCATCAGTTCACCGCACCTCATCACAAACAACACACCGCCAGAGACTTGGAACCGGTCCCTCTCGTCCGTTTGTATCCCCTACTACGAACTTTTTCGTGCTAGTAACACGAGCAGCAGCAACGAACTGGACGTAGGGACATTCAGCTTGAACCAGTATAAACCTCGTGTCCTCTTAGCACACCATCCAAAATAAACGCGCAATAATACAAATTTACTCATTAGTGCTTACTCAAAACACCGACAAGCGGGGCCCCCGTCGCCCAGCTCATTCAAACTCTCTCGGGGACGGCACCACCAGTCCACCACCGCCTGTGACTTGAGCGGCATTGGGTGATGTGTACTCGCTTTGTTATTTTCACCTCCGACCATCGATTTTAAGAAGAAATCTATTTGCCATAGTGAATCTAAAACCATCAATTTTATACGTGTCAACATGTACATATTTTTAAAAACAATAATCAAAGTTAGAAATGTTTAACCTAACACGTGTAGTAAGTTGACATGAGCCCATGGCACATGGGCCCCACATAACAGCAACGTCATCTGTGTCCTAGGCTGAGGCAGGCATTTTGGGCCACTGGTACAGCTAGGACGGATATACTTCTGCTCAATCAAACAAGAAAGGCAAAAAAAAGGATACGACAAGAAAGAAAGAGAAGGTCGTCCGAACATTGCTTTGCACGGTTTGCGATTTCCAAGTTCCAGCAGCACATGAAACTGCAGTTATTTCGTTTTTAGTTTGTAAAAACGACAGCGGAATATAAATGTTAGCTGGGGAGGATATTTTCGGCTTCTGATCAGAGAAGAAAGAAAGAGAAAAGGTCCCAACGTCGCTTTGCAAGGATTCGATTTCTAGGTCCCAACAGCGCACAACCCTGCCGTTACTTTGTCTTTAGTTTAAAGATGACAAGCATACAAACGTAGATCAACAATGAATCAAATTATATACAAATTTAGGGCATAAAACTTGCATAAATAGTTGTATTAAAAAAAGACTCTGAGATGGTATCGGTTCTTTATCAAATAAAAATATATTGTAAGAAATTATAGATTTTGTTTGACTTTTCTATAATCAAAATACATTTACGTATCAGGATGGAGGGAGTACAATGCAGAGAGGCCTCAATTGTATGATGATTCTGAAGTATACTGAAGAATATGGACATGGAGTACAACGCACAGAGGCCTCAATTGTATGATGATTCAGAAGTATATTGAAGAATATGGACATGACATGATGTCAATGTCTGCTGATGTGCATGATCGAGCTCAACATGACACAAAAATTTTTATTTGAAAAAAATGAACTGTCCCTAATGAATACAACTATGGTATTTACAGGAATGGAAGCTCGACTTTTGAGCTCTAACTAAACTTATTCTAAGATGAATGTAAACAAAAATCGGGGGGAGATCAACATATACCACAACTATGTCAGTGATCCTCTGACATCTAAGTAAACTAATTCATGAATTTCCGGCAGTTAGCAGTCTGGCAAAGGCATGGCACTTTCCGTTCATCAGCCTCATCTGTATCAAACAGGTAGTCATACCTGAAATTAAAACAACAAATAACATGATTAGTCGAGTTGTGTGTTTATGACCCCGTTTCAAAATGTAAGCCGTTTTCGTTTTGTCCCAAGTCAATCTTTTGTAACTTTGACTAAGTTTATAGAGAATTAACATCTACAATACCAATTAAAATGCACTACCAAGACATACTTAATGGTGGATTTAATTAAACGAATTTGATCTTAGTACATTATTCTACAAACTTAGACAAAGTTAGAGGATTTCGACTTGGACAAAACTAAAATGACATACATTTTGGAACTGATAGAGTAGTAGAGAAGTTCAACAAAGAGAGATTCATTTCACATAACATACGTTAGCTCATCACCAGCACAAACATTTTTCTTGGCTATTAGAACAATACGACTTTCATCATGTCCAACACTCATAATCCTTGCATAGCAGTTTGGTGTGCACTGCATCAAAAAGTAAAAAAAAAATGTCAAATGAACATCTATTTTAGAGCTAAACATATTTGAAATTTGGCATATGATCCTTACAGAATGATTGATCAATCGTGCCACATTTCCTTTGTCTGTGGCATCAACAACCACTTCCTCACTGATTTTGAAAAGCTGTGCACACAAAGGAAAGAAATCAATAAAATGTAAATTATCAACTCACTACACAGTGAAGTAGAAAAGACAAGTTCAATAAAGATATCACCAATAATTGTTAAATGTGAATACACGCAACATGATTAAAACGCGTCCCCTCTTTCACCATTCAAAATATCAAGAGTAGCAGAAAAGGATTATCAGAGATGAAATTGTTTGATCTTCCTCCTGCGCTACTCCAGAGCTTCCATAACAAAATTAGCATAATAAGCTCACCAGAGCCATAACCGCATATGCATTGTACTTAGAGAGAATGCAATTGCCTGGGGGGAAATCTATTCAAGAAGTTCTTTACACCACATATTTGATGAACCAATGTAACAATGTCAGAAGACTCACATAGCAATCTTTGCCTTGCACACGATATTTTTCTTCCCGTAAATCAGCTACACTTCGTCTAACCTGCTCACCGCGATACTCAAGGACCTGAAAATATATAAATAAAGAACTGCTTGTGTGAGCAAATTTATTGGATACGGAAGCAGTGGACTTATGAGAAATCAACTCTAGTAATTCAAGCTCAGTGAAAGGAATGGGGCAGAAAGAAACTCCGAATTTACCGGAGGGTTAGTAGACCACCGATTGTTACAAAATATGAGAAATTATAGACATAAAGGTAGAAAGTGAGCACTGTCATCACAATGAAGTAAATCTAGGTTCCTAGTAGCGACAATTCTGAAGAGAACATGGCATATGCCACATAGTCAGGGAAAGTACCATTTCTCCTTCTTGAATGTCCCACCGAGCAAAAAGTCCCCACCTATGAATTCCTGATCTACCAAAGCATACTCTACCATGCTCTGTTTTCTGAAATAAGAAAAATAAATCATAATATCATACTAGCACAGAAGCCAGAAGGTACTACAGAAACTTGACAGCACTAGACACACTAACCTGTAAATAACACAAACGCTCCTTGAAAGTACAAAAAGATTCTGGATCCCTCTCTTCCTGCAGATAAGTACAAAAACGTGCTTTATAAAATTGAACTCTAATACAAGAGAGAGAAAATCTTATAAGAGAATAAGTTATGCAGTAAATCAGAAAATTACCCTGGGTGGATTCAGATTATCAATTTCATCCCAGCGGTGTTGACAAGGTCCTCTAACACGATGCGCAATTGCTCCATCTCTAGATCTCTGCATGTTAATAAAACACAGTTATGCTTCGAAACAGGTGACGTACCAATGGCTGATACATACAGACATGAATAAACTATTAAAAGCAATAACATAACAAAGCAAGCATCAGTGTAGAGATTATCATTATTCTTGTCGTGTGGATTTGAACCTGAGACTGGCAGGCCTTTGGCAAGTCAGGAACCTCTATTACAAGGGAGAATTGGTTAAAAGTCTAGATACCGTCAAACAACTTTTCTAGCATTGGTTGAATTGAAACAATAATTTCTAACCAGACTCCCTGTCCAACTGGATGAAACTAATTAGGAAGTACAACAAGTAACATCAGGTGATGTACACGCAAAAATGGATGTACATTTTGGGGTCAAACATGAAATATAAACATCGAATCATCAATTGTATCCCCCATGGTCCATGCATACTTTCTTTGGCATATTGGATCCCTACAACCTACAAGAGGTGAAAGCAGCATTCTGAATGGTTTCACCTTTTTGTTTAGGAGTTGTTTAAACTTCTTTGGCTACGAAGTTTCCATGTAAAGTATGTAACCAACCATATTATTAACCTAGACTGCAAGTCATCAGTTCCAGAACCACTTTATTTTTTTCTCAGACACACAAAAGCTGTGTATCATTGTATTAAGAAAATAAGAAGAAAAGGGGTAGAGAGCCCTTACAACACATACCCACAAACACACCCAAAAAATCTTTCTTCAAGTACAAGCATACTTAAGTATCTGGCTACAATTCAATATAGCTTGTTGGATGCAGGGACATATGGTGATATGGAACCATCTCTACAACCTTTTGCATAGTATGACTAATTTCAAAGCTTAGTAAAAATTACATGTCAAGACCACTAAACCGATTATATGGCAGTAGCCTCTTCGCATGCTTAGTAGTCAATAGCTTTAGCTACTACTGCTATCTTTTAGTGAGCCATGCATACTTAAGTGGCACTTCCTGTAAGACCAAACATTAATATCCTATGATGCACAACCAACATTCCAGAACTTCATTGCAAAGGTCTGTTTACGTCACCATGTTGAAAGTCAGTTGTATGGTTCCTCTAGTAGCTATTCTAGAGTTGCATTCTCTACTTTCATCTTAAAAATAAGTTCTTTATGGAAATAGACATAACCCTGAGAATATATACCTTTAGATCCTTCCTAACATAAATCCGACATCTTGCCGCTGATATGTTCTCTGAAATTTCAACTTCTGACGGCAAATCCAAGGGAATATCTTTCCTGATCAGTCTCGATGCAGCTACCTTGCCATTGCTCTGAGCAAGCTTTTTTGATGAGAAAGTTCCAGCAGGAGTGTGAATTATCAAAACATTATCAGGGTTAGGGCTCCTGCGCACAAATAAGAAAGGTTTGAACTCTCACTAAGACGAATAAGGCTAAATAAATCACTAAATTGAACATACTTTTTTTTTCAATTCCTCCAGTCAAAAGAAATCTTACCGATGTTGGGCACAGTAAGAAATCTTCTTTATTGTCTGTTTGCCATTTTTTTCCAAGCAATGAAGCTGCATATATGGAAAAAGAGTTCATGGTAAAGTTAGACCTATATACACAAAAATGTGAGACATAAAGAAAAAGGAATCAATTATACATTTAAATCAGCATAAAGGAATAAAGGTATCATTCAGTGCTGATGTACCTCCATTCGATAGCCTGCCCTTGATGCACAAATGGCATGGTAGTAAGTAGAGCACCTGTAGCATTGAGTACATGAACCATGTATTTGCTTACAAATCACACACATCTGCAGAAATAGATGAGCATAGAGCATAGACTGTCATACTTCAGCACAAAAAATGTAGTACTTGTTGGTCAATCCACTTAAGCAACATAAATTATAGTACGAAAGATAAACAACCTTCATAAATAGCAAAGGTTGAATGTTCAATATCCCAATAGCAGGTTCCATGAGCTCATCAGCAAAAGCAACCTGTGGCTGAAACCATGCACATGTCACGTGAACCCACAAGTTATCAACATTTGTTGGCTTCAAAGCACCACCTACAATAAGTTCAAAGTTCACCAGGTGCCAAGGTTAATGATTAGAAAAAAAAAATACTCGTTAAAAAAGAAAGAAAACTGCACCCAGATATTCAAATCCATAATTGATAAACCCACTCTACACGACACCAATTGTGGTTCAATTTTTAGCTACTGAAATAGTCATCGAAGTTGAGAAGGGAAGCAAATACCTAACAGGTGTTCATGTAAAAAGCCTGTCACTACAGTTATTAACTTAACAGACCAAGGTTCGAATGTCTGTATAGAAGTATCAATGTGTTCATCCAGTACTATTACCTTTTCTTTTCAAATGCACCCAATTACCGAAGAAAGGAATTACAGAATAGTTATCAAACGCACAGGGATTACCTTTCACAGGGCAAAGACAGCACTCCCTCTTTTGCTCAGGTTTTTCACAAGCCCGACAAACCCATGAAGTAAAGTCTTGCTTACCCGTCACACCATAACATTCCTGATGAACTGCTATCTGACATCTGAACATGAGTGTTGTTAGTTGCGGTTTGGGATTTGCACCATATTTCAAAACAAATTGAAATTGAAGAGAGAGAAAACTTGCAAACAATACAAGTTCATTTACCTATTACAAATCACAATTTTGTTGTAATCCCAATCTTCAACCCATCTACAGACTGCACATCTTTCTGTCGTCCATTTTACATTTACAGGATCATATGGGTCTGCATGGGAAACAAATTCAAGCTCCACGAATTGAAATCTGCTGGGAGAAGTATCTTCAAAACAACTAAGCTACTAATATTAAAATCAAAGCTATTATACCATTTAGCAAATCAATTAACTTCTGTTTCTTCATTTTCTGAGACAAGCGTTTTGAAGGATTAGTAGGGCACACGCCTGGCTGATGTCGATCTATCTGTAAATCAAAATGTTTGGCAGTCTTATACAAAAACAGAAAGCACAAAGATACAAACTTAATTTGGATGACAAACATATTCTCATTATGAACTCTGTACTATTTAGTGATAGAATCTAAAAGTATGTATGCTGTAGCCACTATACGCACCCATTTCCCAAATGGCATCAATGAGCCCTTAAGCTTAATACTGGACCTCCAATTTTTACTTCTACAGCCAGCATGCCGCTCCCATTCATTGAACAAAAATTTCTGTCCCTTGCAAGGGCCACAATGGCAAGAAATTCTGCCACAAATATTAACCAAAAGTCAAGAAAATTCTAGTATGAACATCGCATCAGAGTGACAAGCATAAAAGGGGAAAAAGAGGAGTGGTGGACAGAGATAGTAGATGGCGTCAAAGAATTTCATATGCAATTAACACAGCACAGAACTTACAATTCGAGATCTGGTTGGTATGTTCCTTCCAGGTCAAAACAGACCAGTGCAACTTTGTCAGGCTTGCTTCCTTTCTGTGCAGAACTATCTTTTCTGCTTAGCAAAATTATTATAGTAGACATGTTACTGTCAAAAACACACACTTCAAATATGAAAGCATCACATAAACAAATGATTTTTGCTTACCTGACATCAGAAAATTTTGTGTTCTTCCCAGGGAGAGTTGAATTCATGTTAACTCTACAGTAAGGGCAGTGATAACTGTTGTCTTGTAGATCCTACCGCATTTAGTTATGAGCATGTTATAGGCACTTGCTAAAATACTGCAGATGTATTTGGTCTGTTATTATGAGAAAATAAAGACAAACCTTTAGGTTGCTGCAGTTTTCATCGCATTCTGAATGAACCCAACTTTCACAGCCATGACAGCAAACCTGATCATTGCTTATTCCCATGAGAATTTGCAGCTACGAATAATGAGATATACTTAACACTTAAACATCTACAGACTGTCTTACCCATCTTCCACCATATTTATGTTGCAAACTTTTTAAACAAATTCCACAGTACTTTTTTAATGCCAAGATCTGCAGGTGCAAAAAAAAAAGTAGTGTTAGGAGTAAGGTCTATATGCTCAAGTTCTGCCAACATAATAACCATAATGTAAGCACTGAAGTTGGTATGACAAAACATACCCCGGCACAAAGTCTGCAAGCAAGTTGCTCCATCACATACACCATCTTGTTTGTATCCTTGTTCGGAAAGCAGTTTCCACAACTCTCACACTGCAGTGCTCTTCTGCACTGCTGCGTGAATGACCAAACAAATAGAATTAGTCTACTGAGGCAATATATCATCTAACTGATTAAACAAATAGAATTAGTCCACTGAGGCAATCTATCATCTAACTGATCAAACAAATACAATTAGTCTAATGATGAGGCAATATATCATCTAACTACAGTAGTTTCAATACAATCTTAAAATGTAATAGGGTATACTGAAGTGACCTTATAGAACTAATACTTACCAGGAGATGACAAACCTAGAACTAGTGAAAGAAACTTTCATGTTCCACAGAGAGAATTACCAGAATAATATCATTCTGCTTATACATAGTAAATGATTCAGTTAATAGTGTATCTGTTTCAAGATTTTATCATTGTCATACATCAATTCTTTTATGGTCCTTTGACCTTCACCTAAAATCTTCCTATTTGAGGCAAGGACGCAAGGTAATGATGTAACATCATAAGCTTCCCTTAAAGTAACATAACAGACATTAAAACAAAACATAGAAGATTGGGCATAAGCCATTGATTTGCTGTTGAAATCTCCTACACATATGCATAGCCTTAGTTGTGCATCAACTATAAACAAATTCATCAACTTGCCTTAATCTGTGGCTGGTACTCCAACTCATTTGAACCAGTCACTTCATGTAAATCATCTGGGAAAGAATGACACACCACAGGCTGGCCCTTGGTGCTGCAATCCACCACTACTTCTGAGAATCCCTGATCAGCCAAAAAGGCCTCTTCTACTGCCCTCCGGAAATCAGCAGGTTTGCAACTGCTTAGTTCTGTCTGCCCTTGAAATCTGAAATGAGAAATACACCTTGTTCTCAACACACAAGCTGGCGAAGTTGTCAAAACTACTCGAGCAGGTGTTTTAGCAGCATTTTAACAGTTGTCCATGTAGTTATAGATTTTGAAATACTACTCACCGGTCCATGTAGTCTGAAAATGGAAATATCAACCCCTGCCTCACCCACACGTACTTCTGCAACTCATATCATCAAATGCATCATTTCCCATGGAGAAAAGCAGTAGAAATTAAAGTCAACCAATTTGAATATAACAGTCACTGGAAAATTGTACCTTCTCATCACTGAACTCTGTGCACCAGCCAAATAGCATCACGCAAAGCACAGCAACATCGTGAGGCTGTGGTGGCATTGCATCGGCAGCGGCTGACGTTTGCCAAGCTTTACCCACACAATGTCCCCATACACCAATTGCTCAGTACAGTGAAAAGTCTCTTCTTTCTCCTCATCCTCACACCCTTCATCCTCCTCTTGTTCATCCTCCTCGTCTTCCTCATCTTCTTCCTCATAGTAATGCCTAAGCATCACTTCCTTTCTGTGGTAATTGCTGTATGGTTCATCATGTACCGAGGTAAGTGTGCTCCGAGAGGCTAAGTACTTCCTGGAGCCACCAAAACTGCGGCGTGCTCGGTAACGTTCCACCATGGCCTCCTCCTCATCGTCGTCATCTACCTCGGACAATGCAAAGCTCCTGTCAAAAATTGCACCTTTACTGTGCAGCAGCCCGTTTTTGCGCACCAAATGCTCTGTCTTGACAGGCGGCGGCGGCGGCTTGGCCGGCTTCTCCTTCTTCCAGGGCTCGATAAGTACCGAGTCATTGAACCTAGAGGGCAGCACCTGGGTGCGGCCCCGCGACGTGCGCACCACCGGCGGCCTCGCCGCGGGCGGTGGTAGCGCGGCCTCTGCCGGCGCCTCGGGCTCCTCGCTCCACCGGAGCCCGAAGGCCGCGTACGGGATGCTGGAGGCTGGGACGTCGCCGAGCAGCTCGACGGGGAAGAACGCGTCGCCCCTCCACCTCTTCCTCGGGCGGGGGTCGCCTCCCCCCTCGTCCTCCCCTCCGCCGCCCGCGGCATTGCAGCGCCGCAGCGCAAGGATCTCCGACCGCTGATTCCGCTTGAAGATCATCCGGAACCGCGGAACCGGGCCGCTAGATCGCCCCGGCGAGTCGGGAGGGCCGGAGCACCTTGGCAAACCCTAAGCCTGCCCGCCCGCCTCGCGAATTCGGTCAATTGGGGAGCTCCGCTCCCCTCCCGAGACCTCGCCGAGGCGGCGGAGAAACGACCTCGGATGGAGCTGGCCAGATGTTGTTGACGAAGATAAATCGGCCTGAGATTTTGGGGAATTCTCTCTCTCTCTCTCGTCTCCTCTGCTCTCGGTTGCTTGTTCTTGGTGTGTTCTAATGGGCTTCCAAGTACAGGGGGGGCATAGAGAAGGGAACGCGGCTCGGTGGCGAGGGAGATGCGTTTTTTTTTTCTTTTCCTCCCGAAGTTTCCTCGTGCGATTCGGCGGACTGGATCGGATAGGGGGGTCGTGACATGGAAGTCGGCGTCGTCTCCGCCGTGGGATGGGAGCAGAGCTGGTGCTCGTGCGGTTGCCCTCTCGATTTTGTGGTCGCTGATGGTGGCCGCGGTGGCGTGCATCCATGGAGATGGAGCAGGACAGGAGTGATGGGTGGCACGAGTCTGGGCGTTGCATTTTGGCAGCCTCGTGGTCGGATGGTGATCTGCGCTGGCAATTTTGTTTTCGAAAGTTTTTTTTGGGGGGTTCTCGATCAATGTATGATTTGAGCTGAATTTGGGTTTCGAGTGATTGGGAACGAGTTGTGCTTGATGAGAATTCGATTTTTGGAAGTGGTCTGGGCTGGCGTAGAATCGTGGTGATTTTGGGCATGGTCTGGAGGAGAGAGATGGACATGAACAAGTTTTGTGCAGCGGCGGAGCTGCAGCGTGCCACTTCCGTGGGGATGATGTCACGAGCAGCGTAGGCAGGTCCGCGCTGTTGATGAAGGTTGAGCTCGGATGATTGATTATTACATGCCCAATGCATGCGAAGATAGATAGATGATGTTCGGCCACCTCGGCGCCTCGGCGAAAGCAGATGTTGACGAAAGAAATTTCGATTTTTTTCCCTCCCCTGTTTCGTGTTGTTTCCTCGTTCCGGGGCTTGGATTTCTCGGTGCTTTTGTGTCGATCGGTCTCCTTGGCTGAAGAAGGGGGAAAAAAAAGGTCGAGCTCGGATTTCTCGGTGTTTTCTTGTCGATCAGATCTGCATGGGTGAAGCAAAAAATCGTGCACGGGCACAGGTCTGCAAGCTGTAGATCCACTGATCCAGCGGCCGCCGTTTGAATTCTGCGAGTCCGAGCAAGACGAAGAAGGTCTGAATGATTAATGGAGTCCTGTTCTGTTTTTATTTGTTCTTCTCGGGTTTTTCTTCTTCAATCGGTCATTTTCTTTGGTAACGGTGGTGGCCGTGTGCTCGAATCCACGGGCGGAAAGGTGTGTGCATCGTGAGCCGGACGCGGGGAAGACGACGGTGATTCCCTCTCTGCCGTACATTCGCGTCGTCTCCTCTGATTCCTTTTAAGCACGGCCACGGGCCACCGCTCGCCGGAGTCTTTTTTTTCCCCTCTAATTGTGTGACGACTTCGCCGGAGCTGCACACTGCCACAGCCCACGGGAGGGCCCTCTCGGCTCTCGATGGTGGTGCTGCCGTGCTGGGGCCCAACCAAACCCACCAGGCAGTACGACCGGGCTCGGTTCAGCACTCCGCTGCGCGGCGGCGGGCGGGTGGGTTTTGATGGTGATTTGATGCGCGGCGCGACAGATTCCGGCGACTCGTGCGAGGGGATAGGGAGACGTGCCGTGTGCGTGCATAGACCGCGGAGGACGCGGCCACCAATCAGACACAGTGGCAGCTTCTGCTCGAGCTGCGGACTTGCGGCACTGGGGTGGGCACATCAGATGCGAGGGGGATCGTCGGCTTGGTTGATTGATTGGTTCCAGCGCGTGCAGCTTCTCCTTCTCCCTCCCCCCGGCAGCGGCAGGCGATAACCACGAACGGATCCAAGACGGTCCGGCGACGGCGAGGTTTGAGCCGTGCAGGTACAGGTTTTTTTAATAGACGACATAGTTGTTCTTCCGATGGATTTGCTAAAAGAACCAGCAGCGAGTCCGGGAGTGAGCGAGCCAGCGAGCGCCGCAGTGGAATCCGGACCCTGGAATCCGTCGCGGCTCCAGTGTGGTAGTTTGGCCTTTTGTTTCGAACTTTCTCGAAGCGCGATTTGTTCGTCGGTTGACGCACTTCGTTTTGCTCATCGGGTCGTCGTGTAGCTTCCGCCTGCAGCACGGTAAGGACCAGAAGGTAGGTGTTGGTGCCCTGCCCATTGGCATGAAGACGACGTCGTCTGGCCTAGTTAGGGAGGCGGAGGTAGTGCCTTGGTAAACCTAACGGCAAACCAAACCTTCTCCAACTTGCCCAGGCACCAAGGCGGCAAGCGGCACGGAGAAGGCGGCGGCTTCGCCACACCGGTGGTCGGGTGGCGCCGCTTGGGCGCTTGGCCACGCCAAGCAGGCCGAGACCCTGCCGCCCGCCCGCGAGGCCGCGTAGGCTCGTATCGTCCGGCCGCCCGGCCCGGTGGAAACCTTCCGTGCGCATCGAGACGCGGAGTCTGATTTCAGGCTACAGCCAACCACATGTGTTTCCTCGACAGAATACTCTGGCAGTGGCAAGCAAACTCGGTGCGTCCGCGCGTGACGTGACGGGGATGGAGGGAGCGCAGTTTTCCGGCGACAACGACGTTGCGGAAGTCGACGCGGCCCGCGACGGGGAGAAGCGGACCGCCGCGACGTGGGCAAGATGGAACACGGGTGAGCGCGCCTCCGCCTGCCTTAATTATCTTTCTCCTTGTCCCGTGCGGCCGTGCCTCCGCCCCGCGTCCCTCCCTTGCTTCCCATTCCGACGGAATCTCGATTCGCTCCTTTCGGTGCCAAATCGCTCTGCGCTACGTGACTGGTCGATCTGCTCCCACCTCCCAGTGTTGTTCTGTTCCATGTGGGCTGTGGCTGCCTGATTTTGCTCGTTTATGTGTTCTCCTCCTTCGGTTTCCCGATCCAAGCTGGCCTAGCTTCGCTGTGCTTCTGCTAGGTCCAAAATTTGCTGTTTGCCGCAGGTGCGAGCATGAGCATTACCGGCGGAGGTGCAAGTTCGTGGCGCCGTGCTGCGACCTGGTGTTCCCTTGCCGATTGTCGCCACTGCCACAACGAGGCTACGATGAGCTAGTGTCCCTTTTCGTAAGTAGAGCGCTATAACTTACTCAGGAACCTTATGGCGTGCTTGCCAATTACCTAGCGCACTGGCATGCATTTTTGTTTGCACGTCCAACAGGGGCGGTTTAGGCATAGTTAATACATTTGCAGCCTGACAGGTCGGTACTTTGGTTGTTTGTCAGCCTTAGATCTTGAGTGTGTTCGTTTTGGTTAAATTTGCCCAACGGCCGAGTTGGGCCTTGACCTCACGCCCTGATCGGGGGCGTCCAACCCTACATGTTTGGTGGGCCCCTGTCGCACTGCGCTATATAAAGAGATGGGGGCCGGCGGCTCGCAGTACGAGGTTAACCGTGAGCCGCCACACCCACCGACAAAACTTAAACCGGTCTAGTGAGGGGCGTAGCCAGCGGAAGCACCATCACCGGGACGCCGTCGCCGTAGGACCACTTCACCGCCACTGGAGCGCCACCTCTTCACTGCCCTCTCTACCGACGCGATGGACGGTTCCAGCTCCACCAAGCCCTCCGATGGTCGGTACCTCTGCTCCCCTCTTCCTCTTAGATCTCGTAGTCCATGTTCTAGGGTATGTTTATCTTATTCTAGTCAAGTCAGCACTCTTAGATCTACATCTAATGATCCTGTAATTTTAACAAAATTATATGCATGATGATAAATCAAAATATGGAATTCAGTGGCGATAATCTTGCAGCGTAGAGAAGTGTTCATGCAATAAATTGTGATATAAGGAACAATCTCCTTAGCTGATTACATTTTTGAATCTGTGGTTCCTGGAGTGGGAACTTGATGATAGATTTCTGAAATTGTGCCTTCAGTCATTTTAGGAGCAAAGAAGCATAATGGGTTTATGAAAGTGTGCCTTCTAAAATCGAAACATCAGGCTTTGGTACTATATGCAAAGAGCAGCTAATGCTAGAGCACTCATTCTTGTCCTTAATGAAAAAAGAAACTGAAAGCCTGCGTTCGCTGGTCTTACCAGCCAGTTTCAGCCGGCTGCTCCTCCTCACAACAACCAGTCAGTTTCAGTCAAGTTTCAGACCAACGAACGGGGCCTGTGTTGGTTCTTTCTTCACTGTTGGCTTCCGGAGATCGGCACACAATATGTCATCAAGGTGTTAAAAAAGTAAGTCTTTCATGTTTTTCTAGTTTCTGCAATAAATTGACTTTACTATGTTCAGCAAATGTGGAAGATTAACTCTCTTCATTTATTGCAGGTAGTTTGCCTACTCTGTGGATCAGAACATGAACAGCCTGCATGACTTAAAGTGCTGTAGAATTTTATTCAGTGCTCATGTCACGTGAGGGTTATTGTGCTTAAACTGAAACTTCATTTTTGCTGTTCAGGTGTCATGAGTGTGCATAAGCTGTGGAGTCATTATGGAAGAGTATTTCTGTGATATATGCAAATTATTATGGTGATGATGTACCTTTTGAAGCTTGATTGCTTTCGGACGTGCTTTGCATCATTCATACCAACTGATGCATGTTACTTCTTTTACTGAAACAGAAAGGGTAGTACCATTGCATCGATTGTGGCATATGCAGGTGACCACAAAAGAAACTTCCACAGATATGTAAATTAAGCTGATTTCTGATCATGTGTCTACTCAATTCAACCAGGGTTGGTGGCAAGGAAAACTTCTCCCACTGTGTAAAGTGTGGTATGCTATGCTTCAACCAATTTGATTATTATGTGATTTTGAAGGGGGGGTTTTTTACAACAGTGATTTTGAGTTGAATGTTCGTACATACTCAACAGTGAAAGAATGGAAGTCCAAATTCAGTTACCTTTCTGTCTCTAATGAAATTTTTTCGTGCCCCCAAGTTGAAGTCTGCAGATCG